CTGGGTGAAGGGCTCAGCTACAACTTGAACTTTAACCTGCACAGTGTGAGGGTGTTCAGCACGCCCGCTGGGTGAAGGGCTCAGCTACAACTTGAACTTTACCTTAGAAAGGAAAACAATAACAATATAACCTAAATATTTGTACCCTCATATCAATCTGGAAAAATAAAAAAGAAGCAAGACTTTTTTAATGCAAAGCAGTAAAGATTTTGATTCAAATCCCAGCTTGACCTTCTCAGAGTCTCATTCTTCATTTGCTAAAGGAAAAGTATCTATCTCTTCATACAGTTGAGTGAAGAGCATGTGAGTAAAATGTAAAGCTCTAGATATTCAATAAATTGTGGTAATTATCAGCTCATTCCAGTAGACCTGGAAGACAAAAAAAAGGAGGGGCTTCATATCCTATCTATGTATCATAAGGGTCTTTGAATTCCTATTTATGATACACTGTAACTCTTCATGAAGCAAGTATGTATCAAGCAATGATTATCTCAAGTTCCATGATTATAAAAAAAAATTGCAAAACCACTGTAGGATGATAAATGTTTGAGATGGTTATGCTAATCATCCCCATATGATCACTGTACATTGTGTGCATCAAAACATCACTGTGTATCCAATAATATGCATAATTATTGGCAATAAAAATTAAAACCCTTTTAAAATTTTGTAATAAGTAGCATGCAAAACTCCTTAAGAAAGATTTGCCTAGGTGAGAAGGTAGTAAATACTGAAAAGTTTAAGAAACTCTCAGCTAAGACTTTACTTTGAGGGATCATTTCTATAGTTTGTTACTAGAGAGATTTCTCTGAATATATAGAGCACCAGCAATAACCAGGAGCAGGCGACACAGTGTTCCCTCCTGAGCGTGACGTCGGCTCTCGGTGCTGCTTTGCAGTCAGTGCCACCTGCCCCGATAGTGGCTCTTTTCTCCCTTTGCCAGAGTCAGGGGGTGGGGACACAGTCTGAGTGGTTCTGGTTAAAGAAAGGCAAGAAAAGAAAACTTCTGGCTGTTCTAGGTATATGCAAATTGAAAAATTGAATTTTCACACATGTATGTATCTAAATTTACTTTGAAATTATTTAGTTTGAAAAAATTCCGATATTTTATTGGAACATTTCATTAGTTTCTAATTTATGTTAGTTTATCCACAGTGATTATTACACACAGATAAAAAATTTACCACTTGATTTTCATGGGTTAATTTATTCTGTAAATCTCTCCAAGAGATTCTTTTGCTAATGCTTAAATTAGTAAGTACATTCAAATAGACTACTTTACCCAAGATACTAATACAACTATTTTTTTCTTACAAAACCAACATATAAAGAAGCTATATTGTCTTGAGAAAGTTATAGATTTATTTGGAACCAAACTTTGAGAGGCCACTAATGTATAAGTGGTGATGTGTTCCTTTAATAGCAGAGCAATACTTTTCTTCTTAACCAGAAGGAGTTGGCAAATTTATCCAATAGAGGGAAATGGACAGCAACACGTGTTCTGATGGACCCTATTGGTCAACAGAAAAGATACTGATTACTTAATATTAAAATATTCTGAAGTCTAGGAAAATAAAAATAAGCATTGGTTATATATTTAGAGACTTATGAGTGAAGAGATAGTCATAATCACTTTATTGTTGGTATGTACTATATTATTTATGTAAAAAAAATCACAATTACAAAATTAAATCAATCTTTCCTCCATTTATTTTCTTTCTTTATTTATTTATTTCTATTCTGTGTAAAGTTTAGGCATCTAATAACCTGACTGTTAATTAAAAAAAAAAAAAAGGAGGAGCCAGTCATTTTTTAAATGGCCAATCTTTAAATATTGATATGTATTTTACTAAAAATAACTTTATAAACCAATTTTGACTATATTTATTTTCAATGTTGACTATATTTATTTATCAGTCAATGTTTGACTGTATTTATTTATCAATGTTGATAAACTATACTACTGTATGTTTTTAATCGTATAATTTTAATATGGGATTTTTATGGAATTTTTCATTCATAGATTAGTATAATTGTTCTTGTTAAAATATTATGCCAGATAACATTTTAAGTAAACTATTCAAAAATTTCATGTTACAAGATAATTATTTTGGTTATATTTTGTTTTTAACATTTTAAGAAAATGTTTAAAGTAAAAATAAACATAATTTATAATTTGTGTTTTATTTCACATTTTTAAAGAGATATATTTTAATATGAATATTAGTACAAGTTTCACAGAAATTCTCACTATTTAACTTTTTTTTCTTTTGAGATGGAGTTTCACTCTATCACCCTTGGTAGAGTGCCGTGGTGTCATAGCTCACAGTGACCCCAAGCTCTTGTGCTTAAGAGATCCTGTTGCCTAAGCCTCTCCAGTAGTTGGGACTATAGGCACCCACCACAGCACCTGACAAGTTTTTGTATTTTTAGTAGAGATGGGAATATTGCTCTTGCTCATACTGGTCTTGAACTCATGCACTCAAACAATCCACCTGCATTGGCCTCCTAGAGTGCTAGGGTTACTACAATGAGCCACTGCACCCAACCACTATTTAGAATTTTATTCCCACCATATATTCATTCCACTGACCAAGTTTTACTGTAGATGAATCCTCTACTCTTCCTAAATTTATTACTAGGAATCTGACATTCAGATGCCACATAATTTGAACTGTGGCTTATTTTTTGTTGCCAGGCCAGAATATTTTTAAAGATACACATGTACTTCTCCACAAACACTTCATTTTCTCTATAAATACTCCACTTTCTAGAGATATTATCAGTAATCAGACCGTGCTATTTTTGTTTGTGAGAGTGCCACCTCATTCATGAACCAACTAGATACCAAAGTGTCAGGTGGCCATCCTGGCAAGTAATTTTAAAGATCTTCTAACCTATAAGAAGAGTTCAGCATCTCTGTTTCCAGCAAAATTAATTTTTAAGTCATATATTATATGCCTTATAACAATCTAATATTCTTAAAATAAAGTTCAACATGATTATAAATTTACATTCATTTTAGGAATTAGTTATATACAGTCTTTTGATGTTCTGAAAATGAGTTCAGTTAAACCTGAAAAACCTCCGGATTTGCTAACTCAAATCTGTTCTAGTAGAGACAAATTTTTGAAATACCTGAGGCTTGGTGCTGCTGAATCATACAGTCCTATTATTAGGTTCCAATATTGCCATTCCTTCTATTGGATTGAACAAACTTGCAGAAATTATAAAAAGGCTTCATAAATATTTTCAATTATGATTTTTACAGATTTGAATAATGAACTGAAACTAAAGCTTTTCATTTTTTTTTTCTTCATGGGTTTTGGTTCCATTTGGTGTCATTTGGACTCAAAAATAGAAAATAATATTTATCCCCATCCCAGCTTCTGTACAAAGACTACACAGAAAAAGTTATTTGTCTGATTCTCAGGAAAGTCAGAAACAGCCATAACCTATAGACTGAGGCTGGGAGTGAAATCCATAGGTAATGCCTCTGTCAGCAAAGACTTAGTAGAGGAGAGTTTATAATAAATATTCACATCTGCTACTTTGGACACTCTAATCCATCCTAAGGATCTTTGCTGCGTCAGGCTTTGTTCTAGATGAGGAAGCCCAGTAGTTATAAACGTTTGCAAATAGGCCATATTTGTCATGGTTAGCTTTGCTTTTATAACTTGGTTTAGAGATAGTCATGATAATTCAGGATAAAATTTGTGATTAAACATTTCTGCTTATGATGGTATCATTCTAGCATTCTTATTATGAAATGCACCAGTTCTATTTTCACAACAATATATCACTGACCTAAAAATCTGTCAAGAAGACATCAGAGCTATGCTGGATAAAGAGAACATGATGGCTAAAAGCCCGGACTCTAGATTCAGAAGGCCGGTGATTAAATGCTCTCTCCCTCCATACCAAGGCTGTCGATGTGAGCAGGTTGCTCACCCTTTCCAAGTCTTTATTTCTTCATCTTTATAATGGAGTTAATAATACATTTTATCATTAGATTGTTGTAAGGATTATGTGGAATTACCCATATCAAGCACTAGTGCATTGAAAGAGTTTAATACATTATAAATATTATTACTATAATGATAATATGCCCTCTAATGCAATTAGATAATCCCATAGATAATACCAATGTCATACTTATTTACCCTAAGTACTGATCTTTGTAAACATATTGTGTTGTTTTTACTTGTTTTATGACCCCTGATGGTTTCTTACTGGATTTTTTTTTTTGCTGTTTTTGGCCGGGGCTGGGTTTGAACCTGCCACCTCCAGTATATGGGGCCAGTACCCTACTCCTTTGAGCCACAGGTGCTGCCCGATTATTGGATTTTTAAAAATATATATTAATTAAATGTACATTCTTAATTTGTTTTCACTCTAAAGAAATGTTTCACTACAAAGAGTATGGTATGAAAATCTTGAAAATTCTCTATTCTGTATTTAGCTATCTTATGTAACAAAACTATAACTTAACAGAATTTTGAATTTTAAGTTAGAGTAAAAAAGCCCAAGACAGTTTGAAATGGAAGTATTATTTTCCACTTCAACTCCAAAGAAAATGTGTTAAGTTTATGAGTTTCACAATTTTTAAGGCAGAAACGTATACTATAATGTAATGGTTTTAAGCAATGATTAAGCATAATTATAATAAACAAGTCTAAAGTGTAGCATAATGCAAATTTTAAAATATAAATTGTTCATGAGATATCTCTATGTGTATCTTTGCTATAGATTAATTTTGAAAACTATGCCTTTTAAAACTTTTTAATATATAATTCATTTGGGAAAAAATTTTGTTGCTTAGTTGCTTTTAATTCATCTTCTCAACGTGATTTATTAATCACAAATATAAAGAGACTAGTAGGGCATTTGACAAGCTCTGATATATAATAGAGCATTAGGCTTTATTTCTCCTTTTTATAATCTAATCTATGGCATGTCTGAATATTGATTCAAGTTATTTCCTTTACTAAGAGGAGATAGTTTAATGATTGATATCTAACACAAAATGATAGTCTGTTGAATCATAGTTACAAACAAAACAGAATGTTCCATTGCTTATAAACTGAATGCTTGAAATAAAACTTTGATATCTCTCTCTCTCTCTCTTTCCTGTCTCTCTCTCAGGTCGAGTTTTAGCTCAGGCGAGTGGCAATGGAGTTATCCATTTGCTAGACCTTAAATCTGGGCAGATTCACAAACTAATGGGCCATGAGAGTGAGGCACATACGGTTGTGTTTTCTCACGACGGGGAGAGTCTGTTTTCGGGAGGCTCTGACGGCACGGTTCGGAAGTGGTCTTGATGGTCAGCATACCCTACTGCGGAGGGCATTCCCTTTAAGACGTGAAGATGCCTCCTGTCCGCCACACAGTAAATAACCGGTTAAATATGCCAGCCAGGGACATTCACAGTTTGCTCTGGAGCATGCTTTGGGCGTGGCTTTTAGAGCTTGCACTGTTACTAATAAAAAATAACTTTCTGCTCATTCATTTGTGCATGAGTCTTCTTTCTCTGTCGATTTGGTAAGAATTTAGAGAGGTTGCATCTTTGCTAAGGGTTTAGAAGAAACAGCTTTACAATGACGCCTAATGACAGACTAGATGAATTACAGGAGATTGATTTTTAATGTTGGCGAACAAACTGCAGGAAAACCTGGCTACTTTTTTTTTTTTTAATCAAATCCGAGCTGCAGGAAAACCTGAAGTTTAATCATGCAGCACAGGAAAAGTCTTTCTGCAACCAAAGGGGCAAATAGAATCGGTGAGCATACGTTTTCACAGACTCTTTGACAATGATTGTGCTTTATCTATTAATAATAGTCGGGGTCTGCAGATGGCTTAAATCTATATGCAAGTCTCTTCCGGAACTTTCAACTCTGCAGCCTTATCCAAGAGGGCATACGAGATAATTACATTCTTTTACAATTTTTTGATTGCAGCAGTTTCAATGCAAATA